TCAATAATTATAAATCTATAATATAAAAATTATGAATTTATAGTATAGAAATTATAAATCTATAATATAGAAATTATGAATTCAATTCCGTGTGCACCATGCATGGTGCACACCGTTGCACAATATAATTTTCCCCCATCTACCGGAGCGTTATGCTGTGCATCCGTATGCACAGATGCAAAAACGACGTCGTTTTGGCGTCTAACTTAAAAAATAATAATAAAAAAAAATCAGAATTGCATAACTACACATCCATAATTTCACTACACATCCATAATTTCATAACTACACTTCCAGAATTGCATAACTATACTTCCAGAATTGCATAACTTCACTTCCAGAATTGCATAACTACACTTCCAGAATTGCATAACTTCACTTCCAGAATTGCATAACTACACTTCCAGAATTGCATAACTATAATTCCAGAATTGCATAACTACACATCCATAACTTCATAACTACACTTCCAGAATTGCAAAACTACACTTCCAGAATTTCATAACTAAAAAATTCAAAATGAATGAACTAAAAATGAATAACATAATGTTGTTACTGTGAATCGAAACTGATTTTTTTTTAAGTAGGACGCGTGTTTTATACAAAATGACGTCGTTTTTGCATCCGTATGCACCCTGCATGGTGCATACGGATGCACAGCATAATTTGCCCCATCTACCAACCATCTCCATTCTTAATTGCGCCAACTTCAAACACGGCCCAAGCTTGTGATCATTATCATTGTTTTTTATTTTTTTTGGTCCGTACCATGTTAACCACTGTGCTAGTATACCCTTTACAGCCCAAGAATTAAACGACACGTGCCGGTCGGTCATCAGTTCTATCTTCTATGTCAAGTTTCATGTCTCCAGGAGATCATAAGTAGATCGAATATTATGTTCTTGGTCGGAGGGATTTTAAATTCCCTTTCCACTTAATTCTCATCTAATTTCAAAGACCATTAAATTTGGTAGTTTGGTTGAAGGGAATTGCAATTCCATGGAATTGCAATTCCCCCATTTTCATGGAATTAAAATCCCATGTCCCCCCTGGTATTTTTATTCCTGGAAAAAAAATATACTGATGAGTCAAAATTACTCCTTCTTTTTGTAACCTAAAATTAATGTCTAACAACAATAATGGACATTTTTTATTTTATACTACTTATTCCCTTTCAATTCTCATGTATACCAAACATTTGAATTGAAATTCCCAGTAATTCTATTCCAGTCAACCAAACACTGGAATTTAAATTCCCACTTTATTCCCAGTAATTCAACTCCCATGGAATTACAATTCCTTTCCTACATAATTCCCTCCCTCCAACCAAACGCCCTGTTAAGGTTTCATCTCACCCGCATGGGTAGCTCAACTGGTCATAGAGGTGAAACTTTAAAAGAATGACCAGGGATCGAGTCTCACCAGCGGCAGTGTGGGAGCAACCTCTCAAAGTGAGGGGGGCTCCTTGTGCGCAGTGAGCACCAGTCTAGCCTCTGTGATTAATGTTCAGTTGAGTCACCATGATTTACAACCTCCCACTGCTCTCGGATATTGTTCAAATTGAGAGATGCATTACTTCTATTTTATTTTCGAGTTAAATTGGAGAATTGTACATGTAAATACAATTGTTTTTTTATTTCTCTTTTCGGTTTTTAATTCTCTATTTTTAAGTTGGAGAAATGTATAAATAAATGCATTTTATGTAGTCTTTCTTTGTCAAGTTTTGTCAGGATCATGGACTCACTACTATACCAAAAGTTAGCTAACAGTGAATTGAAGTGTAGCATTATTTTCTTATACTTGCTAGGAAATTAATGCCAGAACTTGACCCTTTGAGCGTCTATACGGCATCCCCTCCTAACACCTGCTAGCTTGATCTGAAATCAATCATTAAGATTAATCATTTACTATTATGCTAAAAAGTTAAGCTATAACTAGTAACGAAGACGCAACTTTATTTTCTTATACTTGCCTAATAACCAACACTACATTTTGATGGTTGACGGTAAAAATGTTACCAGATAATATTATTATGTAACTGAGTCAATGTAAGTTGTGTTGCAATATGTTCAGTACAGAGGTAAAAGTCTCTCTCCCTCCTCATCCAAGAAATCATCTATTTATACAGTATAATGGTAACAGCTATAATAATAGGCAGTAATGGCCTTCTAATGAGTGCAACGGCTCCCTTCCATAAGTGTAGGTCCCCTCAGTAACTACTCTTTGATGAGGAGGTACGTAACAGCTATATCATAATGAGGAGCTGAACCATTATTTCCTTGTCTTGAATGAGCGGGGTAGTAAATGACTTTTGCCCGTTGGGTTTCCACGGAGCGCCGGGTCAGGTGCTTGTTGACAACCCGGGTCGGGTGCTAGCACCATTACTCGTCACCAGCCCCCCTACTCCCGAGCCTACGGATGTGTTTGAGCTGACTTGGGAGTAAAACTGAATCAAAGATACTCATTTTTTTTAAGCAAAGTCCCGGAGGTTGGCCGAGGCGCGGGGCCTCGGCCGATGATGGCAAGTTGGGCGCCTCGACCAATGTGGGCCGAGGCGCCGGGCCGAGGCGTGCGCCTCCGCCGATGATGGCCGAGGCGGGCGCCTCCGCCGATGTGGGCCGAGGCGGGCGCCTCCGCCGATGTGGGCCGAGGCGTGCGCCTCCGCCGATGACGACAGCCAACCATTATGCGGAAGCAGATGAGGTTGATAGGAAGAAGAAGGATGAAGAAAATGGTAGAAAGGGTGGGAAGCCTGGGAAAGCTGGTCCGCCCAACCAGGCACCACGCCCAGACCACTCGTTCACAGGGAAAGGCCGAGACCACGAGCGACCTTGCCTGGTCTCCCTACATAATTTAACCCCGCTTACCCATCCTATTAGTGTCATTTTAAAGCAACCTGATGAGATGAGAATGGTAGAATTCCTGCCGGAGTGTATGAAAGTCTCCCCAAAGGCAGACCAAACAAAGTCATGCGCCTCGGCCCACATCGGCGGAGGCGCCCGCCTCGACCCACATTGGCCGAGGCACCCAACTTGCCATCGTCGGCCGAGGCGCACGCCTCGGGCAGCATCGGCCGAGGCCCTGCGCCTCGGGCAACCTCCGGGACTTTGGTTTAAAAAAATGAGTATCTTTGATTCAGTTTTACTCCCAAGCCAACTCAAACAAATTCGCAGACTCAGGAGTAGGGGGGCTGGTGAGAGAGTAATGGTGCTAGCACCCGACCCGGTTTGTCGACAGGCACCTGACCCGGCGCCCCGTGGAAACCCAACGGGCAAAGTCATTTGCTACCCCGCTCATTCAAGACAAGGGAATAATGGTTCAGCTCTTCATTATGATATAGCTGTTACGTACCGCCTCATTAAAGAGCAGTTACTGAGGGGACCTACACTTATGGAAGGGAGCCGTTGCACTCATTAGAAAGTCATTACTGCCTATTATTATAGTTGTTACCATTATACTGTATAAATAAATGATTTCTTGGATGAGGAGGGAGAGAGACTTTTACCTCTGTACTAAACCTATTGCAAAACAACTTACATTAACTCAGTTACATAATAATATTATCCGGTAACATTTTTACCGGTAAAATGCTAAGTTTGATGCTCTAAACCCCATCCAATAAGTTTTCTATTTTTCTAAAAAGGAAATATTGGTATCATATTTTGACATCATAGTTTACCGGGTAAGGAAGCATTATATTACAGATATATGTCTTTTTTATTCAAAATAACTTTTATTATAAATTATAAATTACTAAAAAAACGTAGCTCCATGATAATCCAAATATACTAAATTTATACCCGTGGATTAGGGTCCATCTTGCATGGTGAACCTAATCCCAAACAACTTCATTTTATATTAAATTGTTGATGATGTCGATAAATGCATCATGTTTAATAATATTAATCATGTATGTTCTTTATGTTCAAAAACCTAAACATTAATGTACATAAACACTAAATTGTATGTATACCAAATCTATTTACATTTACTTTGTAGGTTCATAATATTTCTTTTATATATTCACAAAAACAAACTTAATATATATAAACATTGCACTAAAGTAATGAATTTATCTACTTATAAATTTATTTATTTTTAAATAAAAATATATATCAATATGGGTGACATTAAAAAAATCTCAATCAAAGGTTTTTAATAATATTGTTTTATATTAATTTTTTTTGTACAACAAGAAAAAAATAAATTGGAGTTGAAATAAAAATTAAAGAGAAAAAACAAAATGAATGTCTTAAATGCATGTTGCTACATGCACCCTAGCCCCTGGTTCATGATATGACTTTTTTTTTTTTTTTTTTTTTTTTTGGTAAGGAGAGAAATTCACAATTACTATTCAAAGTTATACATTGAGTAAATCCCGAATTGTATGTATCTCTTGCCAACAAAGAATCACAAGAATATATATTGACATATATTGTCCATAGATGACCGACTCAAACAAATAAAAAAGAGCAAATTACACTCTGATTAAGTCATTATTGCATGAAGCATGATCCACACAATTGTGGACCACAAATAAAAAGTACATTATTTGTGTACATAAAGTACATTATTTGAAAGTACATTATTTTAGTACTGAAAGACTGAAAGTACATTATTTTGCATACTATCAAATAATGTACATTTAGTATATAAATAATGTAATTTTAGTATATTAAAAATATACTTTGTATTCAGGGAAAGTACAAACATGATTTGAGTTGAGTACTAAAAATACATTATTTTATATAATGTACCTTCATTAATAAATAATGCACTTTTAATATATTAAAATACATTTTTTTTATGGTTTACATAAAAATTTACCACGATCCTACCAGAAGTCAAACTTGACTATTGTGAAATACAAGTAGGGGCTGGGCTGAAATTAATATTGCAATAAAGATTGATGGAGAGGTGTCATGCACCAATAAGGTGGTGGGAGTTATAGAGTTTTACCCTTTAAATTGAGAACATGAAATTAAAGAAAGTTTGCAACTTTACTTGGTTTCTTCACATGTCCTACTCCAAACACCCACCTCTTACTATATAACTCCGTGTTTAATTTAAAGTTGTCACCCCAAAAAAAAAACCCAACGTACGTACTTCACAACATCTCATTTTTCAAAAAACAAAAAACAAAAAAAAAACATTCACCCTCTTATTGTCTTTCATGGATCCCTTCACCATTTTATGCTACTCTCTCCCTCCCCTCTACCTCCTCTTCTTCTTCATATGGAAGATCATAGACCAAAAGAAACACCAAGGCTGCTACATTCTGGACTACCAATGCTACAAGCCCGGCGACGACCGGAAGCTGAGCACTAAGTTCAGTGGGGAGGTGATTAGGAGGAACAAGAACCTGGGGTTGAACGAGTACAAGTTTCTGTTGAAGGCCATCGTGAGCTCCGGCATCGGGGAACAAACGTACGCGCCGAGGATGGTGTTCGACGGCCGGGAGGAGTGTCCGACGTACGAGGACGGGATCATGGAGATGGAGGAGTTTTTCTCCGACAGCATCGGGCGGTTGCTGGACCGGCAAGGGGTTTCCCCGCAGGAGATCGACGTTCTGGTCGTTAACGTTTCGATGCTGGCGTGCTCGCCGTCGCTGTCGGCCCGGATCGTTAACAAGTACAAGATGAAGGAGAATGTTAAGGTGTATAACCTCACCGGAATGGGGTGCAGCGCCAGCTTGATATCGGTTAACATCGTACAGAATATTCTCAAGACCCAGAGGAATCTTTTGGCGTTGGTTGTAACCTCGGAGTCGCTCAGCCCCAACTGGTACTCCGGGAACGACAGATCCATGATTCTGTCCAATTGTCTGTTCCGGAGCGGCGGCTGCGCGATTTTGCTCACCAACAAACCGGGTTTACGGGAGAAATCCATGTTCAAGCTGAAATGCCTAGTAAGAACCCACCATGGAGCGAAAGAAGAATCGTACGGCTGTTGTATACAGACGGAGGACGAGGAGGGGCGTGTCGGGTTCCACCTGGGGAAGACGCTGCCGAAAGCCGCCACCCGAGCTTTCGTCGACAACCTTAAAGAAATCGCCCCGAAGATCCTCCCCATCAGGGAGCTCCTCCGCTTCGTTATACTCACATCCCGCCGGAAACTCGGCGGCGGCGGCGGCAAGCCGCCGCCGCCGCCGGATTTCAAGACCGGGGTGGACCACTTCTGCCTGCACACCGGCGGGAAGGCGGTGATCGACGGCATCGGGCAGAACCTGAACCTGAGCGAGTACGATCTGGAGCCGGCGAGAATGACGCTCCACCGGTTCGGCAACACCTCCGCCAGTAGCCTCTGGTACGTTCTGGGGTACATGGAGGCCAAGAAGCGGCTCAAGAAAGGCGACAAGGTGTTCATGATCAGCTTCGGGGCGGGGTTTAAGTGCAACAGTTGCCTGTGGGAGGTGGTTAGGGATTTGGGAGAAGAAGAAAATGTGTGGAAAGATGACATCCATAACTACCCTCCCCAAACCCTAACCAACCCTTTCTTGGACAAGTTTGGATGGCTCCAACATGAAGATCCAAACACCTTCAACATTCCAGATGACTACGTCATCCCATGATGTTTTTCTTCCGGTAAAAAATGCACTTTTAGTCCCTCAATTTTACCCTCTTCTTAGAGATCTGAACAAATTTGATCACTACTCGAAATTATCTAAATTGTTGTTAATTCAACCCTTCGATATAGTACCAACTTTCAAACTCTATTAGTACACACGTGCCAGATTTGTTCGGATTATCTGGACTACTAGAGTACTAGTGAAGTTTGAGGGTAGTACTATATGACAAGGGACTCAATTCATAATACTTTAGACAATTGATGAGAGATCAAATTTATTTAATTAAATTGAAAGACTATAGTAACAATTATGTTTTTTTTTCCCTTTTTCTTCGTTAGGTTTCCTTTTTCAGAAGAAAATGAAAAGAAATTAAATTAAAGGATTCATCTGTTTTCTTTGATTTACCTCTTATTTTTGTGAATTTTATTTGATTTTTTTTTTCTACCATAAATATGTGAAATAAAAGAAAAATTGTACGTTGGTGATGACTACTTGGTGTAAATCACTTTGTATTGGTATACTGGTATACAAGTACGTGTTTTAGGAATTTGCATTTATTGCTTTATTAATTCCTCTTCTTTTTTTTTTTTTTTTTTAATTAAGAGCCGATGCCTGGGGAAGCCTTAATATGTGGAATGATCATTTTGCCAAATAGTAATTTTTTTTTTAAAAGGCCAAATAGTATTTATTGAATCATACAATACAATCTACGCCCACTAATACAAGAAACACCATTCACATTTTTAATAGCAGACAATATGTGACCGTAGTACTAAATGCGCTTATAGTACAAACATGAAAAGTGCTTAATTGGTTGGGGTTCAGCCTTTGGAAGAATGAAAAGTGCTTAATTTATGTGTCTATAGTTAACAAATGCGTAAAGATTTTTTTTTTTGGACAATACATTATATATCTTACCGACTTACCCTTTTTGAGTGAATTAAATTCAATAAAAGACTATTTACATTAAACTTTAATATGTAGTAATAAAAATTAAATACTCATATGGCTAAAATTATGCAATTCTAATTTCTGACCACAAATTAGGAAAATGAAACACAAGCCTAAACCATGCATGTATTCTATGAGTATCTTTAGTTATCTTGTAATGAATACTTATATATATGGCGAGACAGCCAGTGAGGGAATAAAGGTTTTGTGGTAAAGGACCTTAATGCCCCAACTTACTAATCATGGAACCCTAGATCTATGAATATAGATAAGTGTTTGCATGGGCTGTTCAATTGGTTATAGGGGTGAAGTTTGTGAAGAATGATCGGGTATCGAGTCACACCTGTAATAGTGTGAGAATAACCTCTCAAAGCGAGGGGCATCCTCCTAGATGCTCTATCAGGACCTTGAGGAAGGCTAAACTTATAAACTTACTTTGTCTTGGTTGACTAATTGATCGGGTCCTTGGGGTTGAGGATTCAACCTTGAGGAAGGCTAAACTTATAAACTTATTTTGTCTTGGTTGACTAGTTTAACTATACATTGAGGGCATCCGTAAAGATATATATACAAAATATTTTGATAACCACGGGTTGAAATTTTAGAATAATTTTTCACTATCCAAAAATGGTTAAAATTATTCAATTATTTAAAAATAAAAATAAAAATAAAAATAAAAAAATAATAAATAAATAAAGGAATTTCAGCCACCGGCTGTCCGCTGGCTGCGTATTTTACAAATAGTTGTGGCTGTCCGGCGAAGACAACTAGACAGCCACAACTGGTGTTTGACAATCGTGGCTGTCTGTGAAATACGCAGCCACCGGCTGTCCGGCGCGAACAGCCGGTGGCTGAAATTTCTTTATTTTTTTTTATTTTTTAATAATTGAATGGGCAACCTGTAAAAAAAGTCAATCGAACAAATTTAGCTAATAAATGGGCCTATTTGACACTTAATTTAGTTCGTGGTGGGAATTGAGCACTTTGCAGTAGTAGATGTGCGTATTTGACACTTGTGTTTTTTTTTTTTTTTAATATGCTAAGTTGAGAAACCAAAAAACAAAAAACAAAAAACAAGACAAAAAACAAAACAAAACAAAAACAACAATTTAAAGAAATTTATGGCAACCTAACTTCACCGTCTTCAATTCACCTTCTCCTTGTCCTCTTCTTCTCTTCCTGCTTTTCGTTCCCTCCTTTTTCTTTTCTTCTCCTCTTTCTTTCATTACTATATATAAAGGAGTAAACCTTTTCAAAAATTTTAAAATGTTAAATCAGACACCAAAAATTTTTCGATCACCATTATAAATTTTTATCATCCAAGCAGACATAAATTATGTTATTTACTAGAGTTATTTGTTTCAATTCAAAGTTGAAAATTTTCGTATATTTTTAAAGCGGTTAAAATTTTTTATTAGAAATGGACAATTTTTCCGCAATGAAGGTGCAATGTGCAAAATTTGAATCTCATCCTTATATTTGTAAAAATTAAATGAATTGAATCAAATCAGATTTAAAAAAAAAAAAAATACGTTGACATTTTTGTAATTATTGTCAACTTTATTTTGCAAACTTAAATATTTAAGTAAGCAATATGTGAATGACAACTAAATATGCAAACATAATAAATTTTTAAAAATTAATGAAAAGGCTAAATTTTAAATCTAAACTGTAAATGCTAGGTCCTAAGAAGTAAAAAGTGAACCACTAAACCAAATAAAACAAAAACTCAGTCATAAACTCTAAAATCGAAATCCTAAGTGCAATGCACTTTCGTATTTTTGCAAGTGCAATCTTTTAATACTAAATGTGCAAAATGTTAATACTAAGTGTGCAATATGTTAATACTAAATGTGAAAACCTGGAAAATTTTGAAAAGTACCGATTTTAATGTTCAAGTTTGCATATTAAGTTGGTGATAATTACAAAAAATCCACCGCATCTTTTTTTTTTTTTTTTTTTTAAAAATTGATTAGGTCCGTCTAATTTTTATAGATGTAATGTAATGTTACGGTTGGTTCTTAGTTTTCTCCTAAGGACTTGTTATCTCTCACACACACACACACACACACACACACACACACACACACACACACACACACACACACACACATATATATATATATATATATATATATATATATATATATATATATATATATATATAATTAAGTGTGTTGTACTTCAAGTGCGTGCAGTGGCGGAGCCAGAAAGCTGGGGTTGGGGGGGCCAAATTTATAGAAGAAATTTATTATCTTAGTTCATATTAGTACCAACCACACAATATTATTATATATATACCATATATGATTGTGCCAATTATTATTGATAATTATTTTTAATTATACTATGTACAATAATATATGAAATATATAATTATATGAGTACGATCGTTAAGATTGTCAAACATTACTTTTGAATTTTTTTTACATAACACAAAAATTATACAATAGTAAAAAATAGAAAAAATTACACTTTTAACCACTAAGTTATAGGGTAATTGAAGAATTCATAATTATTAGTCATGCTTAATTACTTTTTGTCCCTAAAATATTCTCCGTAATTGATGTTGCAAATTTCGTCCCTTTACTAACAAAACATTAGGAACAAAGTATAGCTTAGAAAGGAAGAGTGACCACAACATGTCATTTAAAGGACGAAATTTGCAACGTCAATTATAGTTTAGAGACGAAAAGTGAACACGACCAACAATTATGGACGAATTCTACAATTTCTCATAACTTAGGGACGAAAAGTGTAACTTTCGAGTTCATTTAATATATACATAATAGATTATTTAAAAAAAAAAAAAAAAATAGGAGGGGGGCCAAAAGTGTAATTTATCCCTATTATAATAATATATACCTATATATTTATTAAAAATGGGGGTGGGGTGGGGGGGCCAGGGCACCCCTTGGGGTAGGGGTGGCTCCGCCCCTGAGTGCGTGAGTCTTGTGCTTAATATGTGTGGGGTTTGTGCTTAATATGTGTGGGGTTGTGCTTAATGTGAGTTGTTGAAAACTTAAGTGCGTGAGTTTTGTGCTTAAGTGCGTGAGTTTTGTGCTTACGGTGCGTGAATTTTGTGTTTAACATGCGTGAGTTTTGTGCTTAACGTGCGCGAGTTTGTGCTTAATGTGAGTAGTTGTTGAACTTTTGGTGCATGTAAGTTATATAAGTGCAAGTAGTCGGTGGTGCACCTTTGCAAGTAAAAAATGCAGGTAAAATCCCTTACAAGTGCACATACTTTCACTTACAAGCATGGTTGCAATAGGCGCTAGGCGCTAGTCGGGCGCCCGGACAGCGCCTAGCGCCTAGGCGGCGCCTAGGCGGAATCTAGGCGGTGCTAGGCGGGCGCCTAAAAAACAGTGGTAGACTTGCAGTTTGACAATTTTAATGAGGTTGTTTTCAACATTTAATCAGATAACACATTCAAATAAATCAATTAATGATAATTCATAAGTCATAACATCAAAACAATGGTTTTCAAAAAAAAAAAAACATTAAAACAATATAAAAAATTAAAAATACTCAAATACTTCAATCATCCAAAGATTCAAAGTATCAAACTAGTCTACGAGTGTATATATGTCATATTATATATATGTATGCGCGCGCGCGCACACACACATATATATATAATAAAAAAATAAACCGAGCCGATTGGGTTAACTCGACCAAAATGGACGAGTTAACTCGACTAACTTAGACGCTAGGCGGCCAAATCGGCCGAGTTAGGCGCTAGGCGGACGCCTAGGCGGCCGATAACCTAGGCGGGCGCCTAAAGGGGAAATCGCCACGGTCTAGAGGCGCCTAGCGCCTAGGCGGGGCCTAGGCGAGCGCCTAGACCGATTTTTACAACCCTGCTTACAAGTGCATGTAATTTTACATTGTTAACATTCATGCACCTAGGTGCAACTACTTATAACTATATGTGCACCTAGCTATAACATTCGGTGCACTTAGTTTTGATGTTCAACGTAAATTTTACTTGCACGTGTAATACATTTTACCTGCACTTGTAATACATTTTACATGCACTGAGGTACACTATATGAAACTGCTACTTGCACTTGTAATACATTTTACTTGCACGTCAATGTTCAATTATTTACGAAAATGTCATCGTATTTTTTTTTTTTTTTTTAAATCAGTATTTTTCTATCCCTTAAATCTAGATACGTGGACGATGCTGAATGGTTCTCACTTCTCTTCCGTGCGAGCAGTTCCCATATAAACAGATATACGGAGTGCGATGTAATATTAATCCTAAAGAAGCTATTGTTTTGAGAAATTGTCCCCTTAGTAATAAATATATTCGTTCCTTTACATTTTTACAAGGATATGATGTT